CTGCTCTGATAGCGATACTTGATAGGATGCAGCAGGAGCAGACTCGCCAAGCATAGGCCACAGCTATAGCTCTCGCTCAGATGTAGACCCGGTAGGACCAGTTCCAGCAGCAGCAGCTAGAGACTCAGCGGCAGCTTCTTGGCTTCATGCAGCATGTCCTTATAGCTATAGGGATTGCTCCTTTTTGGCCCACGTTGCAGCTTGGCTCGACTGTTACTAGTACCCCAGTCACTCAAGCTATATAGCCCAGTGGGCTTCAAAGTTAGGGACAGACAGCTCCATAGTTTGCCTCGCCTACTGAGCAGGTTTCGCAGTGGTTTGCCACACTAGGGACACAGACTCAGGGTTTCACTCTAATTTTCACCAGATTCACACCTACTCAGTCTGTGTCAGTGTTAGTGATAGATACACCGGTCTCTAGGAGCTTGGCTACCACTTTTAGCGAGATCACAGGTCACCCTACACCTCTAGAGCTTTAGGTGCCTATTATTACAGTAGCAGCTCCAGTCATAGGGACTACCGAGACTCTCCCATCTTTAGTTGCTTCGTCAGATCCACCTCGGATAGTCACTAAGACAGTTGTGGCTCCACTTCCTACAGCGACAGCTTCAGAGCCACAGGGTTAGGCTATAGCTTCAGCTTCTACTTCATAGCTAGTTGACCCAGCTACTAAGACCGCAGAGTAGACCCAGACCGCTCCACTTCCTGCTTTAGAGTCAGAGGGTCAGCCACCGATTGCTCTAGCTGGTCTAACAGTTCCGAGTCCAGAGTCAGATGATGATGCTACTCAGTTTCAGATCTCTCATCATACCTCAGTGCCCAACTCATCTGCTTCTACCCCACCGTCCAACCCTTAGGTTTTGGTGCTTGATGCCAAAGGGGGAAAGGGAGCGAGTATGTTAGATTTAGGGGGAGCGTGTGAGATGGACTCGTTCTTTTGTGTGTGATACTTTATGCATTCACGTTTACTCTCATGCATTGTGTTATATGTGATATATGTGTGTTTGTGAGACTTATGTGACATGTGTGCTCTCTACTTTGATATATATGTCATGTCACTTGGTTATGCTCATTTGCTTTGCTTGCGCGTTTTACTCTGATACAAATGAGCTTTACTTTGTGTACTTATGCTTATTTCATATCTTATGAGTACATTGTGTTGACTTGGATCATATAAGCAAGCCTAACCCTCCTTTGTACTTATTGTCAATTGGTTATATGAATCAAGCATGTTGAAAACCTCACTCATCTTTTACACATACTCGAGGTTGTGTTGTCATCAATCACCAAAAAGGGGGAGATTGAAAGCATCTAGGCCCCTAGTTGGGTTTCGGTGATTAATGACGACACGAGATTACTGTGACTAACGTGTGTTTTGCAGAGGAAACTTGAGTTAGGTCATGGTAATGGTAATTGATTGGGAAATTATGGGTTTCATGCCCTTATCGATGGAAATCGTTTCGGTTTTCAAAGGATGGATGACAAGGTTAGGGACGGACTAGTTCTAAGTGTCATTTAGCGTTGGAGAGACACTTAGAGTAGTTTTAGGACTTTGTTTTTCCTTTGGCCGTACTATTAAGGGGGGTATGGACTAGTAGCTTGACCTAGGTAAAACTAATGATTTAGGTGTGGTGCACACTTGTCAAACTTAGCACTAGGTAGCTCAAGGACAGTCCACAGGTCAATTGAAGTCAATGTCGTTCACAAAAGTTGCCAAATTGGAAGTGAATGGAGACTTGGACATTGACCGGACGCTAGACTGGACGCACAGGTGCCGCGTCCGGTCAGCAGTGTAGCACACGCTGTAGGGGTAGAAGGATGACCAGACGCTGGTGCAGGCAAAGGATCGGACGCACAGGTCCTGACCAACCGTAGCAGCGTGGACTCACTGTTGACTAAGGACCGGACGCAGGGACAAAATGTGATCGGACGCACAAGGTGCTGAGTCCGATCGACATCAGAGACTGTCTAGAGACTGTTTTTGTTAACTTGATGCATCAGGTGGATAGGGATCAGACTCACCTTGGAGTTCGATCACAGTAACGGTCATATTTCAGTGTTGGCTAGTGGTATACTAACCGGACGCGTCCGGTCGCCCCAAAAATTGCTAAGTTAGACAGTAATGGTCATGTTTTGATTGGGGGATTATAAATACTTCTACTCGTCCAACTTATCTCTCTTGCCCATTTGTTCAGCTGAGAAACATCTTTGGAGTGCAGGGGAGAGCAAGAGCCTAGTGGGGTGATTGAGATTTGCTAATCCAATTTTAAGGACCTCATTAGTGCATAGAGAGCAGCAAGTGTGCATCCACTCTTCTCATTAGGCTTGGTTGGGTCAAGTGAGAGTTCGTGCTTGTTACTCTTGGTGATCGCCATCACCTAGACGGCTCGGTGGTGATTGGAAGTTTGGTGATCATCCGACGGAGCTTGTGGATGACCCAAGTCATGGTGTAAGCGGTTATGGGCGACTCACCACGACGGAGTGTCGAAGAATCAGCCCATAGAGAGCACTTGATCCTTGCGCGGATCAAGGGGGAGCTACACCCTTGCGTGGGTGCTCCAACAAGGACTAGTGGAGAGTGGCGACTCTCCGATACCTCGAAAAAACATCGTCGTGTTCCTCTCCTTCTCTTTACCTTGAGCATTTACATTTGAGCAATTCAATTCATGTCTTTACATTCTTAGAATTGTCATGCTAGAGTAGGATTGGAACCTAGTGTGCAAAACTTTTGTGCGGTAGAACAATCGAAACACTTCTAGGCACAAAAGGGTGAAATGGGCTAAGTGTAGGGCTTAATTATTGAAAGAAATTTAGAATTAGCCCAATTCACTCCCCCCCCCCTCTTGGGAATCTTGATCCTTTCACAAGGGATCAAAATTCTTGGACATGACAAGCACAGATGTAGGGGGAGCTAATACTACCAATTCTGGTTTGTATTACTTGTCCAAATCCTTTGCACATGGTAAAATTTCTTGGGCAAGCAACTCAAATTCAAAAATGAATTTCATGCATATCTTTATGAAGGTTGTCATCAATTACCAAAAAAGGGGAGATTAAAAGCCCTAGTTTTGTTTTGGCTAATTGATGAAACCATTGTGGACTAACCTTCTATCTAAGTGTTGTGATTGAAGTAAGGTTGGCTCACACCAAGGTGGAGCTAGATGGCACTTATAGTGATGGAGATGACCAAAAGATGGTGATAAGTGCTTCAACTTGGAAAAGAAGAAAGAAAAAAACAAAATGAGCTCAAGACAAAGGTATAAAACCTAAGGCCATTTTATTTTGCCGGTCAAGACTCAAGACGCAATAGAGTGCGTGATCGGATTTAAGATAGATAATCGTACTATAAAGATGAGAAATCTTTAATTGCAATGGTTATCTAGTGCCACTCCAAAGTCTGAGTGACTCTGAGAGAGGAAGGCGCCGCTCCAAAGCCCGAGTGAAGGAATTTTTTGCCTCCCGTGGGGACCACCTCCTGCATGTGCATGTGAGCCGCTCGTTTCCAGGAATGCAGAGAGAGAGGGAGCGCAGGATGCAGCTGCCAGTTTGGCTCGTTGTTGCCATGACATTCGCTGGCTCGGTGCGTGGAACCCGCGGCTCAGAGAGGAGGCGTGTTTGTGCGTTGCTTTTTGTGCCGTTCGTTGCTCACGTTTCGTCCGAGTGGAACAGGAGAGTCCGCCTAGGCCCGTGCGGGTCCGTTGTGCCTGGCGCGAGAGAGCGTTGTCCAATGCTCATTGGTCATGTGTGGAGAGACAGCTCGTGGATGCGGGTCTGTACGTTGTTTGTTCCCGTAAGCTCGACCGTGCTCCAATACAACTTGAAAAGGTTCTAAATAGCTAGAGTGGCGAATAATGTAATAAAAAATTTTACAAAACACTAGAGCAAAATATCAAAACACCAGAGCAAAGTAAGACAATAAGATGACAATAAAGCGATTTTTGCTCTAGCTCTACTTTACCAAATGCATGTCACCTCCGTGGGAACGGAGGGAGTAGTTTAAAAAGATCCGATTCTCCCATCCCATGACATATATGGGAATATGGGAGAGGCCTAACATTGCGCCTTCTGGCCATAGCCACACAATCGTTCCACATTCGCATCATGAAACAAGAAGTAACAAATAAATGACATGCTGACACATGAGCCATTCACAAAACATAAGCAGATTTTTTAGGTTGAATATACATGTACATTATTAGTCTGAGGTTACAGCAAGTATTCACAAAACAAGCACGGTATTTTGTTAAAAAAAATACTGCTTATGAGGTTGGGCGCTCAACATCGGCAATAAACAGCCGTCATGCTAATAACAGATATGAATACAGTAAGAGCCACCGGTAATCACAACCCATATGGACACAAGGCAGCTCTTGGTTCACTAAATTAACTAATAAATCAAAGATCTGGTTAACCACATAAGGCTACAAGATGATGCTTATGAAGTTAACTACATAGCAGGAGGCTAAACCTACATGCCTGTACAAACATGAAATGCCCTACGACTCATCGAGGGTTCATTTCAGAAGTTAGAATAGATGTAAGACACAACAAAACATGCAGTTCTGTTAGTACATAGCTACAACTCCTAAACATAGTAATTCATGTGCGGATGGCCTATTGGAAGGCGCCAGTTAGCAATATTTGTCTATCCACTTTCTTTCGACACACATAATTCAATCGATTTCCTTCTTCCACATAATTAATGTGAAAAGATGCCATACTAGCAATAGGGCGTATTTCACAAAACCTGCCCTTAACTAAGTGAATGAATTCACGCATGTTGGCCTCCACGATGACATGGGCTCAATGGGTCAAATCTTCAAAGAGCCCCATTTGCATCAAATTTCCAATTTCGGTGCAGCCATGCCTGCCCCTGTGGCTCCGTCATGATTAATGGCCAGCCCCGCTTGCTGTATTTGCTTTGTGCTTTTGTGCGTCAAGCTTCCAAGAATATTCTCCAAACATCCCAAGAAGAAGCCACCAAGATGCTACTTCTGCTGTCATCCACCAGGTCCTTCAACTACATGCTGACTACATTGCTTCCTTTTGGACATGGAGCTACGGCGAGTGTAAACATATCTCTCTGGAGGGCTCTTGTTCTTCAACAAAGCTTGGTGAGAAGTAGCCATGACAAGCTCCTTTTGATATATTTCCCTACGCTGCAATGTAATGTAAAGCATCAGAATTGATGAGGATAAAATGGAATGAGAACACTTCATAAAATTGTGCAGATACAAACGCAAAATCAACCATAAAAAATGTAGAACCTTTTTATCTATTGGCTTCTTTTCTACATCCTGTGACTCCAGTAAGGCAGTAGCTGGTGTTCCGGGAAGACTCTTGAATGCAAGTGATTCCCCATCATCCAACTTCCGTTTGTATGATATTGTTGATGTGGAACTGTCAGCGGTATTCCTATCAGTGTCCCTGTTATGCAGAGAAAACCTGACGGTATGTTTTTCGGTAACTGTACTGTCCACTGTGACATCGTCCGATCTCACTGTGACATCATCGGACCTTTGAATCGTTCCACCATATGATTTGTTATTAACAGAAGTAGTCGCAGATTCTGAACTTGCTCCAGGTCCAGAAGCATGACAAGAAGTCCACGAAGAAGAGACAGCAGTTATCCTCCTTGCAGCAAGTATGTCATGTGCACATCCAACCAGATCTTTCTGGTAATCAAGATGAAAAATGTTAGTGTAGAAAAACATCAAAATTGATGCAGTAAGATCAGTTGACCACAACAGAAATCCAAGTGTTACACATTTGGTTTCACAAGCTATAAGGTTTCTACTTTTCAGATTGATGGGAAGGTTGACAACTGAGATGTTCTAAACTACACGTCAGCAATAATAACTGACATCAACACTAAATAGCTGCAATCTTTTGGTGCATATACTCATTTACTTGACCCCTACTGTACATTTGGCACATTTACTAACACACGGACATCAAAATCATCCTCTCATTGCAATCCAGTGCCTAAAATCTTCTATTTTTACTTTTTATGCACATAACGTATTTCAAGAAAATCACAGTTAGAAGAGCATAAATTTTTACTTTTCACTTGCCAGACCTCAAAACTACATGGGACAAAGATAGTGTTGTCGACTCCTATGTGGGTCGACAATACAGGCGCCGTCCTAGGTGCCCACCAAGCCCAGGCAACTAAGGGGCTGCGTTAGTTTAGGAAAGAGGCTTTCAGGGAGAGATTATAGGAGATGTGTTTTATTATTGTTAGGCAAGTGCACCTAAACTATAAAGGGCACCTCAGATCTATAATCAGGATTATCGAAGAAAGAATAAACCTCCTGCAGGGGCATGGAGTTTCCTTCGACAGTGGCGCCGGAGGACTCTTACATCGCCACCGTCGAGACCCACGACCAGCCTCGTTACCCTCTGCGTTCATCTTCCCAATCCCAGCTACTCCTCTACTCTCCCTTGCGCACACCTCTCCACCAGCGCCGTATCAATTTGGTATAAAAAAACCAGCACTGGGACATCGACCACCATGCCCGATTGCCTGGCCCTACGGATCCTGCGGAGATGACAGCGAAGCAGGATCGCATCCTGGGGCAGCTTGCCACCATCAACAATTGGATGAACTCCCACAACAAGCATATTGCGTGGACGAAGAAGTTCCAGTCAGGGGACAACGAGGGGGGCCTCACTGAGAACTCTGGGCACCCGTGGCGGCCACGGCGGTGGCGGTGACGACGACCACGGCCGTGACTCCTTCCGCGACCATGACACCGGCTACAGCCGCGGCGACATCTAAGACCGCGCCATCTACTTCGACCACGGCGATCCTCGTGATCGCCGCTTCTGTCACGACTACTTCCCCGGCCAAAGGCCGCTACGGCCGCAATCGCCACTAAGGGCGCGACAATCGTTTCAGCCGTGACGACTGCCATAGCCACGACGATCACTACGGTCGTCCGTGTTCCCCAAAGATCAACTTTCCCTACGGCGAGTCAGATCCCCTGACGTGGTTGAACAAGTGCAACAACTACTTCTGCGGCCACCACACCTTGGAGAGAAGGTCTTGATGGCGTCTCTCCATCTGGACGGCACCTCTGCGAATTGTATTGCCAGATGTAGCGGAATTTTGGCCTCATCTCGTGGTCGCGCTTCGTCAACTTGCATTTTGGGCCTCCCATCCACTCCAACTCTCTCGGCGAACTCAAAGCCCTGCAGCGCTCCGGATCAGTGGACTACCAGCGCCATTTTCTCGCCCTGCTATCTCGCCGCGAGCTCACCACGCAGCACAAGATCGACCTGTTCACAGGTGGTCTGGGAATGCGGCTAGCCTCCGATGTGGAGCTCTAACGGCCGGCCAACCTCCAAACGGCCATGAGCCTGTCCAGGGCCTATGCGCACCGCCAACTCGAAGCTTCATCGGCTGCAGGGGCGACCGCGCCCAAGCCGGCGCCTCACCGTACCAGCGTCTGGTTTGACCAAATACACAACCAATACACCCACTAAAGCACTGCAAATAGGCCTCCTGTCTCATAATTTACATCACATCACAACATATACCCATACTAATTAGCTACTTAGCTCAATGCTGGAATAAATTGTCTACTTAGCTCAGTGGTTATTCCTGTAACCATTCTATTGAAGTTCAATTTCAAAATATAGGATCCAATTTGTGCTTCAATGGTAACTGAGAATTGGAATTAAACTTTCAATTGCAGCACATAATAATAACAAAAAGAAAAGAACCACAAGATTAATCCCTTGTAATACTACTCCCTCCGTCCACAAAAGTATGCCATTCTAGACTTGAAGCTTTGTCCAAGAAAGAATGCGACTGTAGGGGTCCAGGCTAGCACAGAGAGGTGCTCAGGTTCCTGTGGGACATGAGCGTGGAGGGAGAAACTAAGAGAGACTCGAGGTTGGTGATGTAAGGGGTACATGCGTCTTTTACCTATCTATCTAATTCCACCTTGGAAACCGAGAGTTGCAACCTTTTTTGGACCCGGAGAGTATATGCAAAACAAATCTAATGGTACTACTTTTGTTTACAAAGTTATCTAATGGTATTAAGTGCAACCAAAACCATATATACTTTGGATCAGTTGCTGATCAAGGTTTGCCAAAAAAAACAGGACTTCTAAAAATGTGGAGGCCAGGGGTAGTTTATAACAAGAGAAAAATTCCTATTTGACACCAGAAAAAGTACAGCTATCTTATTTGGCACTGAAACTCAAATTCTTTCCTATCTGTCCCAATCTCAAGTTTTTCTTTCCTATTTGACACTTCCGTTAGTTCCGTGAGAAAACGCCGTTAAATCTCCTAGTGGGGCAACGGGAAAAGACTGAAATATCCTTTGAGCAAAAGGAAGGCAGGAATTGGAAGCTCGGTCATCTATTGCGACTCTCTATCCTCCCCCGAATGTCACTAGCACGGGCGAGAACCGCGTAGGCGGGCGTCGCGGCCACAGGGGCGGCCCGCGCAGCCTCGGAGGCGGGCGCCGCGGCCACGGGGGCAACTGGCGCGGCCTCTGAGGGGCTCCAGAGGCCGAGCGCAGACAGGGCCTACGCGCCCAGGTCCGGCACAGCCAGGGCTGCTGTGGCCAAGCCCGGCGCGGCCAAGGCTACTGTGAAGCTGTTGTTTGAACACACGAAGAAGAGAAAAGTTAGCTAGTGGAGACGCACGTGCAGGCTCACGTGTCGTCGTAAAGAAACAGAAAAGAAATGAAGAAGCTAGCTGTCTGCACAATCATGCATGATGCATGCGATACGTACGAGTAGCTAAACTAACAAATGTACTCAGATAGTCCATACGGCAGCCATCGGCTACATGGCGTTGTAGATATATTGGTGCAGTACAATCTAAGGGTCTAAAAAGATTATGCCCGTTCCTTTATTTTACACAAGCAATCGTAAAAGGAAAACATAACAGTTGAAAATAAGTCCAAGTAAGACGGCTAAAACGGTCTTTTCCTCTAGGACTTAACACCGTCATAACTCTAAACTAACAGAAGTGTCCAATAGGAAAGAAAAACTTGAGAACGAGACAGTTAGGAAAGATTTTGAGTTTGGGTGTAATATAAGAAAGCTGTACTTTTTCTGATGTCAAATAGGAAATTTTCTCTTATAACAAATATATCCGCCTCTGTAAGATAGTAACATTAGTATGACAAAATAAATGGGAAAACACACTTCAAGGATGAGTACATTATCACCATTTGCTGTTATCACAAATATGAAAGAGAACTATTAAACATCCCGAGAAACCAAAGGTGCAAAAATAGACACGATTAACAGCTTACCTTCACTTTTTCTCTCTTAACAATCCTCTCACAAAGGAAGCGTAATAGTTCCAATTCAACCTGCCAAGAATGAGAAAAATAGAAGCATATAATCCAAGAGTTTCTTCACCATCTTCAAGCTATAGGCCATTGATCAGCAGCAAGATATACTATAGCATCAAGCCATTTTTTGTAAACATTATCAAAGTCCAAAAATCAGAGAAACTTAAGTACTGTGTTTCTTACTACTTGTCAGGTATGAGCATAGATGTTTTAGAATGCTCCTGATGCTTCTGTAAATCTATTCATGTCTACATAAAAATATACTCAAAAGAAATGTTTAAAGGTCACACAAAGGTAAAAGCACAAACATGGAAGATTTGAAGTTTTGTGTTTATATGTGAAATTGTGATATCTACCATTTATTAGGACTACGACAGCCATATATCTTCATCAAATACAGCCTGCTGGACACTGCTTAATACCTATAATGCTTTTCACCATGGCTGATGCTCGCCCCCGCAAATCATGACACTAATACTTAAATCTAACGAACCAAATAAGACTTGAGAGCCAAGAGCTGTTTTGACACAAAATGCACGTGAATTACAAACATCACAGCGAAGGTGATGAGACAAACACAAAGTACCATGAAAAGATTGGCAGTCTAAAATTAGTACTACCTTAGTAAAACAAAAAAAAAGTAGAATCTATAATGATTTAAGCAGAATATTGATCCTTGCAGGAGATAAAGTATGTAATAGGTGTGTTTACCCTCATTTGTTTCATGCTCTTGACTTCCTCAGGTCCATATTGTTGACGATAGGCCTGCACGAATTTCCATAGAAGGATGTAAAGGTAATTATGACATATAAGGATACAAATCTAGTTACAGGGTGAAGACATCAACCTCTCCTAAACAATTTAAAGTATCTCTTACCTTTCTCTGCTCAATACTGTGTCTACAACAGTATGCTTTATGTTGTAACATATTACCCAATCTTTTTGTATTCATGTAAAGACCAGCATCTCTAGCACATGAAGGATGGAAAGTAATTTGACAGTCTCCTGTACTGCACTGCATGGTTGAAAGAGAGAAGGTTAGCAAGATCTGATCCGTTTGTCTACATTTCTAGATCAATAGGTATAAAGGATCCTTTTAAAAAAACAAACCTTCAAGCATGCACCGACATAGCGGTGGCATATAGAGCATGCATCTTTATCCTTGTGATGAAGCCTCTCCTTAGGTTTGATTGAACAGCCAGAACAAAACAATAAGATAATTCAGTCATATTGTACTCAAGATGGCTTCTGGTGATATGCTCACATAACTATGCATTATAATGAAATAAATATGAAAGAAGATATATTTATTTGCCAATACAGAAATACTAAGAGCACAGCTAGAACAAGATAGTACCATTCCATCGACTGGATTATGTTGCCCTCTTCTGAATGTAGTCTCCAACAGCCACTAAGGAAAGTTGGGGTAATTTAAATGAATAAGTGTGCATAAGCTAAGCAAAACAGCAATATGGAAAGAGAAAACTAGAAATCACTACCTCAGCACAGAAAGCATGAACCCATTGACCCTTCACAGTCTTTCTAAAAGCGCCAGATGTTCCATGGCATAAACCACACTGCACCAAACAAGCTTTGCAGCGCCATTTTGATCTGATAGCTCACCAGAGACAATAAAATCTGAGGGCATCTCGTGGCAAAGTTCGCACTTCCATGGGCCTGTAGGATACTTCTGGCTCTGGTAGCAATCTAAGTGGACAGCAGCCTGCTGATCAAGCCAGTTAATAGTTGATGGAGTGCAATTTATTTGGGACAAAAAACAGTAAATGCAAATCACCTTGCAGCTGGAGCAGACAAAAATACGATTCAATACAGTATCACATCGCATGCATATATCACAGTGAAGAGCACTTTTCTTAGAGAATTTTGCCAGATCAAAATGCCAAAGTTAGTTTCCTCTGAGACTTTGCTATTGGAAAATGATAAATCCTTTGCTTGTGGTGATGAACATAATTGGCCAATTCTTGAGGATCCAGCATTGCTTCTTGGCATATTCTGGAAACAAACAGAAGCCAATAAAAAAAACGATCATGCCTGACAAGAAACAACTGAACAAGCAGCACAGTGATAACCTCTCGTCTAGCAGATGCCACATTGTTTTCTGTCTCTTTCCTCACTGTTGCATTTCGTGAGGTTGGTACAACAGAAGGTGCAGTTGCAGCCAGGATAGCTAGAGCTTCCTTGTGTCTCCTCTCTGAGTTTCCACGCTTCTTAGCTTCCCTCAGATCACGAAGAAACTGATTCACAATGATATGATCCCATTTTCTTTTATTGAAAGAATCCAACTCATAAGAAATATTCTGGACAACCTTGTGCATCAAATCTTCTGCAAGATATAAGACGGACTGAAATATCGATTCAGAAAGCTGAAGAAATATAAACACATCTAAGCAGTTCATTTTAGCACACTGCGAAGACTAATTATTAAGATAGTACTGCAGCAGCAGGGGAATTAATAAAGCGGACAACAACCAAAACCATATTGTATGGCTGCATAAGGAATATTAATGTACATGACAAAGAAAAACTTACCATATCTCTGCTTCATAGAAACAACACCATCAAGTAGCCTGGATTGCAAATAAACTATTTCCCCTTCTATTTCATCATCAGGTGAATGCTTGAGAGTATCTGATGATTTTGCTTTACAGACTTGATCCAGGGCAGCTTTGTCTGCTAATTGCCCAAGTTTTGTTGATGAACCACCAAGGTCATCATGAAGAGAGCAAGGTAACTCTTCTACTCAAATTGGGAGAAAATAAAGTTGATTTTAAGATGTGAAAAAAGAAACTAGCAATGGATTCTGTTTAACTGACAGGAAGGAGGCAGCAGGAATTTACCATGATAACCATTTTTCTGTATAGTTTGCTCCATGTTGTTACTCCACAAACCTTGCAACCTCTTCTCAATGACAGGATGAATATAGCAGCAGTAACCATCCATGCTACATGGGAAAAAAGCAGGATTAAGTTATTTATCCATTCAAATGAAACATTGCCTGTAATAATGTGCGAGAAGGACCCAGTGTAACAAAGTAACAAAAGCCTGTGTACACACATGCCTGTAATGGAGAGAGGAAGAGGGGAAAGGAAGGGGGGAGGGGGAGAGAGGAGAGAAAGACACATCCGGATTGGGGGTAGGCATACTTGAGCAAATGCCGGCCAGAAATCTGATTTGCATCAGGATCATCATGAAAGCCATTTTGAACTAAATCACCCCTATTTGCACTGTCATTTTCTGGAAAATGATGATCAATCGATGAAATGGCTTCCTCCTGTCCTGATTGAAGTGTAGCAGTGGTTAAGTTCTTACTTTCACTCCTAAGAAGTGTACCTGTTCATAAATACCAGAAGAATCAACAAGTCTATAAAATTAATGAAATTGAGGCTTCATTGCCCTGGAGTAGTTTAATCTTCAAAAAGGAATAATCAGATGCTTGACTCCCAAGTTCTAAAAAAAAAAAGAAACAGAAAATGCAGGCTGCATGCCCAACACTAGCAAGAAATTTCTAAAGCAAGTAGATCAAAACAGTACATGACAGTTAGCACTGGCACACTAATAAACAATAGCATCATATCTAAGGGCATGTTGGTTTGTCCTGATCTTTTCAAAAACTGGCTTTTAAATGATGCCACTGCCTCTAGAAAACCTGTTTCTTGAAATGTATAATATATGTAATACCCCTCAGATTATCATCCCTTAGAACTTAGAATCAACATAAGTTCCTACAGACCAGCTTCTAGCTTCTAAATTTCTAATAAAAATGAAGTGTTGCTTCCCAAAAGGCGATTTCAAAAGCTAGCTGTTTGCTTCAGCTTTCTGCTTCTGAGGCAAAAGGCAGAAGCTGTCTGAAACAAACAGAGCCCAAGTATCACACATTAGACAGGTTGTACAAAGTAATGATTGGCAAATGTTAGCTTATTCAGTCATGACCTGTTGAATAAAAGAGAATAGAACTCCCATAAATATCGAGCATTGTAGCTACAAGAGAGATAAATATCATCCAGAATAAATTGGTAAAGCCAAATTTCATATCAGGAAGCATACTATGTACAACAAACTTTAAACCTCATCCAGACAAGGCGCACAGCCATTGTAGTATTACAGATAATGGAGGACGAAACATTATTAGTTATTACCTTGTGCCAAAGAACCCTCTTTAAATGACTTCACTTGAACAGAAGGTGCACGCTCAGAGGTCTGCAGCCACTTGATCATTTTCATCTTCAGGCCAGGGGAGTAAGCAGTTGTCTCATCAGGCTGTAAAGGAGAGTTGTTTTTTCTCAAAACATATCAAGGGCGATAGTAGCATCGCATTGTGAAACACAAGAATAACACCATAGAGTTATGCATACTTATGGTTAACTTGTACCTATGAGTATAGTTTCATCTTTACTATTTAAATCTACAGTGAAGATTTTTGTTGGCTTGTAATGTTTGTTATAATACATAAGACTTTTCAAATACTATAACATACACATTTAAAATCTCTGTTTTTATATATTCTAAAAAAGACATAAGCAGCTAACACAAAGAATAAAAAGTTGACAAGTTGTGGAAAAAATAATAATTCTAGAAGTGAAAGTTCAAAAGAGATGCATATACCACCAGCTTGTGCTAGGATAGATTGAGTGAGATGTATGTACCAATTATTACATGTTGGCACACAACTAGTAGAAACACTGAGCAACTTATGAGAACTACTGAAAAATCAACAGCAAATTACCTGAAGAGCAGCTTCCACTGATTCTGAACAAAGACCCAGCTCCGATTCTATGTCAGCAAGATTAACCTTTCCTTGGTCAACTAGCTGTGTCGTCAGTGCAAATATACAAAATGCAGTTAGGTACAAAACCTCCATACCCTAATCTGGCTATGTAAGATGAGCAAATACCTTTCTAAGAATTCCGGAAACATCTCCAGAATTGCTCATAATATTCCCATCTGCAGAGGGTTGATCAACAGCCATATCTGCACTTTGAGTTTCTTGAGTGCTTCCAAGAGTGGATGGAACAGTAGCCAATACAGTTGTCTGTGCTTTGTTTAGGCTACAAGAACTAGTAGTAATTGTGCTGTTCACAAATTTGTCCTTGTTGCTGCGCCAGAATCTCACCTGTTCATTCCCAGTAAGAGGTTTTCCATCATGCGGCTCAACTTGAGCGGAGTCCAGTTCAGATACACTTTTGTCATTCTGTATGGAGCTGATGCTTTTGAAAGCAGAATGTTTTGCACAAAATGCTCAGATCTCAACCTATTAACAGTTAAAAATAAGAAAAATTAATAATAAGCAATCAAATATAATGAACAGATTTAATAAGAAGAAAAAGAACTAACATTATCATGACCAAACTTCCCCCATATCTCAATCTGAAGCTTGAACTCTCTTGCACATATAGGATGGAAGGAAGTCCTGCATGCTCCTAAAAACCGCATGAACTTAGAAAATAAATGGATTATAAAATTAGAACTATTATTGTTCAGATACAATCTACAGAATACTCCCTATGCTCTATTTCATTTTATGTTTTTGGCATTGCACAGACACCAAAACATGACTTTGAACACTGATTTGTATACTTAATATCCATAAATACTAACAAGGAATTATACTTTTGTGAAAGCATTTTCAAAGAAAAATCTATTCATGCAATTATCATACTGTCAATACTTATGCTATTAACATATTGACCGTAGAACTTTCAAAAGATGTAGATGTCACGGCTCTACGATTTCAAACAAAAAAGGACGAAATAGTAGACTTTGAATACATATTAATTAATGTGACGCTTCCCTTAAATACTGGCAAAAATGGGGAAAAAAATAGACATACTTGCTGTTTACAACTTTCAAGGTGTACCTTTCAAGCTTCTCAGAGTCAATTATGTAACTTCACATTGTGTATTCATCATAATACAATGCTCCCCCCCCCCCCAACAAACCAATAGTCAAAAGGCAGAAATACCATAACTGAGTGTCACAGTGCATAGACTTCTCCCAGGCAACTACCAGATCATCCCCAAAATAAATTACATCCTTATTTGTAGAAGGTTTTCGCGGACGATGTAGTGCTTTTCGCAGACGATGTAGTGCTAGTTGATGAAAGCCGGACAGGAGTGAATCAGAAACTGGAGTTATGACGGGAGACTTTGAAGTCCAAAGGTTTTAGACTAAGTAGAACTAAAATTGAGTATATGAGATGTGACTTCGGCACTACTACTCAGGAGGAGGAAGATATTAGTTTGGAAGGTCAAGTAGTGCCTAAGAAGGATACCTTTCGATATTTAGGATCAATGCTACAGAGAGACGGGGATATTGATGAAGATGTTAGCCATAGAATCAAAGCAGGGTGGATGAAGTGGCGCCAAGCATCTGGTGTCCTATGTGACAAAAGGGTACCACAGAAGCTAAAAGGCAAGTTTTATAGGACGGCGATTAGACCTGCTATGTTGTATGGTGCAGAATGTTGGCCTACGAAAAGACGACATGTTCAACAGATAAGTGTCGCGGAAATGCGTATGTTGCGTTGGATTTGCGGTCATACAAGAATGGATCGAGTTCAGAACGATGATATACGTGATAGATTAGGGGTAGCACCAATTGAAGAAAAGCTTGTCCAACACCGGTCGAGATGGTTTGGACATGTCCAACGGAGACCTCTAGAGGCACCGGTGCGTAGTGGAATCCTAAGCCAGGATAGTAACGTGAAGAGAGGCAGAGGAAGACCGAAGTTGACTTGGGTAGAGGCAATAAAAGGAGACTTGAAAGGATGGAATATACTCAAAGACTTAGCCTTAGATAGGAGTGCTTGGAAAACAGCTATTCACGTGACTGAACCTTGATTGCTTCTGCTGGGTTTCAACTCTAGCCTACCCCAACTTGTTTGGGACTTAAAGGCTTTGTTGTTGTTGTTGTTGTATTTGTAGAAGGTTTACCTTAGAAAACACTAGATCTAGAAGGCATGTAGAGCTCTATTTGTACAGAAACAATGAACAAGGAATCACAATTTATTTGCCAAACCTTCATCAATAATAAATCAATTTGACTTGATAACAGAGATTTGCCACAGGACCTCAGAGGTGTAAAAAAAATATTCACTATGCATGACCACCAGTTTGTGAAATTCAACAACATCCAACATGATAGCATAGACCTTAACTGGCTCTGTGCAACTAAGTAAATTCTTTTTCATTGGTCAATTTGCTTTTGTATGAGTTGTCAGTATTTTTTTCTAATGATTCATGTTCTTAAGGTCCCCAAAAGCCTAGAACTGCATACCGATTAGTTAATGAGAAACACTAAGTGGGTTGTCTATTCAAGTGCAACTATCCATGCAACATAACTCAAATAGTCGAATGCCAGCTCTTTCACAAATATGGTTAAATCCAAATGTTGATGGCTTTGGCTTACAATGGCAACTTAACAGGAGAGGCATGTTGATAAGACATCAATCAAGAAAATGCTGAGTGGCATGGCATACAGACACCAAAATAAGATTTAGATATTGACAAATGACACACTTAACTAGTTTAGGAACCCATATGTGAATTCAGGACAAGTTCAAGGAGTGCTGGTGCATTTCACTTTTATAAGATTTCAAATAAATGAAACTGGGGTATGACAAGAGAAAATAAAGAAAGAAAAAGAGAACGAATCATTGCAGCTTAAGCCATATTAGGGGGAACAGAAGTAGAGTCTTGATGTCCAGAACAAAAATTGGACATTGACTTGTAATGTCATAGGGCATTAGGGTGTGCCACAACATATCTTAAATTCAAGATTCAGGCATATAAGAACTTTAGTTCTCAGAGACAGGAGATGAATGTAGCTTAGTGTTAGAATCGGAGTGATTATGTTCAAAATACATACCATGGCTGCAGCGGACACATGCGCCATGCATGACCTTGCAAAAGCTGCACACCAATTTTGATTGATTCTCTTGGGTATCTACTATATTGGTGACAGGTTCCATTGATTCCATGTCCTTGACATGAAACTCTGGTCTCCAAAGACTACAAAATAAATGTACAAATTCTTGGTTTCCTCCATCTGTGGATGGACCAGGGTCCTTTGAAAGGTTTCAAAGCACCTTTCTCCTTCGGACAGAGCACACAGGGCATTGACACAGTCCTGCAGGCATCGCCCGTGTCAACCTCCGTGGCATCCCGATATTCCGCTACACCAAACACAAAACCAGAAACGATCTGGCACAACATGCACACCATAACACTTCTGGTGCACAGATGTCTCACAGTTCTTGCAATGAAGCATCCTGTTAGACATCATATTACTTTCTCCCAAACAACAAACATCGAGATTGAACCAGCCTCACCTTCAGGGGATGGCAGTAGTACAAGCTGCTCTAGCCCAGCATCTGCACCTAAGAGCTTCCTCTTCTTGTTTGGGCGCCTGAAGTGAGCACAAACCGTCCCCTTGCTCCTAAGAGCCAGCTCAGAGAAGGCCACAGATCCTCTCTGCATCCCGGTAGAACAATGCTATTAGTCCTGCTTTGATCTAACACGATTTCAACCGGCTGCTCCTCTTGCTGCACAATCACTTCCTGCATGTCCTGATCACAATTCTCTGTATTACTCTCATCTTGGGTGACCAGCTCTACACTGGCTCCAATATCATCCAAGCTGTCCTGAATATTCTCTTTGCTCCTATCCAACTCCTCGTTATGCTTGCCCAAATTCGAGCTCAAATCCGGGCTTTCATCAGCTTCAAAAGCATGAGATAGATCTGAATTCTCCCCTAACTCCTTACTACTGCCAACAACTGGTATCACAAAATATGGATCAATCTGGCTAGGACAGAATTGATGCTTCGTCACTAATTCCTCGAAATCCTCCGCAGTAAACTCTCGGAAATAGGGCTCCAACTGCTCCCAAAAGCCCTTGCACCCAGCAGGCACTCTCGGGTGCTGCTCCAGGGGAGGTGCTGGCTCCGGCTGCTGCTGCTGGGGCTGGCTCTTCTTATGATTCTTCCGCACGTCGCCCACCGCCGCCCATCTGGCAACTCGGGATGGCAGCCAGGGGTCTCGTCCAGCAGCCCCCTCCCCGTCAAACGGCGACCACACACAGTGCCTTCCTGGCCTGCTCGCACGGGGTGACGCTGGGCCGCCGCCGCCGGCGTGCCCCGGCGGGTGGCGGCGCATCTTCGCCGGACTTCCGGGGATGACGAGGGCGACGCGTCGGCGGCCGCGGCGAGCGGAGGTCTCCGGCGAGGCGCCACGGCGGAAAACCTCCAGTGCTAGGGTTTCTCTCAGGTACGATTTTTTCGGGGGAGTTCAGATCCGGCAGCGAGAGGGAAGGAGGACTGAGGATGGAGCGTTCGGCTGCCGTTATAAGCCGCTAACAGGTGATGTTACATTATTTTTCTCAACCAAGTTATCGCTTCCTCTCGTAGCGGGCTGGGCCTGACAGTCGTGCTCTCACCTCGAGAAAGGCGCCTTCCGAGACGCTGCTACGCGCACCCGTAGCCAGCTCACGAAGTCACTGACTATAGGGGCCCACATGGTCGTGAGATAGTACGCGTGGCCGTAGCACTTTCCTCGGGAGGGGATATACCTGGTCCGCTGCTGTTTTTCCTTGCGCCGGGTCATGGGCCGTGTTGCACAATGCATGACTGATACGTGGGCCCTCACGTCTCTACGTGTCCACGGGTCCACGAGTCAGTTATAATATCGCAGGAGAAGCGACACGACGCGTTGTGCACTTGTGTGTTGAGGGTCATGCGTGGGCCCACCAGGCGCCCGGGCAACACGTACACCCGCTGAAGAGGAGACGGTTGCCACCGCGCGCTTTCACGTGACGTGATGTGGGTAGGTGGCGGGTGGACCCGGATCTCCGTCTTCATGGGAGCCGGTGGGAGCCAGGCGCCAGCTGACCGGTTTGCTTGGGCTGAATTTTTTTTTTTAGGAAATTGCTTGGGCTGAATTGTGATGGACTGATGATCATCTTGGGGCTTGGGCTGGGAATGACAGTTTGGGGCTTTCTGGTAAATTGATTTGGGCTCCAGCCCGTTTTATGATAGACTTGTGCAATGCTTTGGTTGAAAAGAGATCTTTTCATTTATTAGGCCGACAATTGAAGAGCAATCTTCTTCTTTTTACAAATTAGATGTAACCATGTTGAGATCCAATCCGACTGCATGGAAGTGGTTCAAACGATGGGTTCTCGGCTACGGCTGTGGCATTCTATGATGAGATCGTCCAGCTTTGGAAGGAATTTGGTGAGATAACTATTAGTCATTGTAATAGATCTTGTAACTCAGTAGCCCATGAATTAGCTAGGCAAGTTTTATTACAAAAGAGTTCTCAGGTTTGGGTAGATGATCCCCTTCATATATCTTACAACTTGTAAACGATGTAACCGTCTTTGTGAATCAATAAAGTTTGCCTAGAGTTTAAAAAAAAGACACTAAAGAGTGTGCTACCTCCTTTTTCGAAGAGTTAGGGAAATTATATTAAAAGTTGGTAGTACATCCCAAATTATACATGAAAATCTGAAATAAAAAATTCAATATTTTTATTCAAAAATTTTTCATCATATTCTTCGCTAATAGCTTTCCATGATGCAAAACAGAGCCTTCTTGAACACTGAAGCTAACGTGCGGTTCTTATGGTGAATCCAATGACAATCTCAAAACGGACATGTCGCAAGATCCAACATTCTGGAATACATCGTCAAAAATAAAACCCCCTTGTAAAATCATTTTTTGGTAGTGTATTGAAGTTCAGTGATGTTTTGTATGAACTAAGAATTAAAGGTTATTTCAATGTTGAGTCTATTAGTAATTGATTTAGCCATTATGTTCGTTTTGTGAGTGTGTACATGCGACTAAAAATAACATAGGTCGGGTCTTAGACCTGCGCTTAGTGTAGGACAGAAGAAAGGAATTTTTTTTAACACTAGCCTAAATTCACTTCCGCGAGGGAGTCGACCTTAGGAGTGCTACTATAGCCGGCTAATTAACTTAGCTACTAAAATTCCCACAATGACACAAGCAATAGCAGCATTTGAAGACTACTATGTGACGAGTGCTTGGAAGCTATCGATCGACTTAAAAGCGATCACAACAACGTGTCTTGAAGATATTTCAAAATATAACTAGAGTTGGATACTTCGACAATTTTTCCCTGCAAAAACTTCTCTTAGTACATGTTCATGGAATTGAAAGTTTTGAATTATACCTTTGTATATCAAATAATAAAGTTATAAATGATTATTATGATCTAAATTCAGTGAATGGTAATGACCATATCATATCATTATTGCGAGCAAATTGATTTGTTCGATGTCAAATGATAAAAGTTACTTTTGACTATGGTGGCATATGTAACATCAATACATCTATGTTTAAATGAATATACACTTAATTACTGGATCGGTGGATCCTAAAGGTGTATACGAGCAGACAGGATGCCCAGCACAGGCAACTGACATGGCGAGGTGCTAGTGATACCGCGATATACTGATAGACTGATAGTATCATAGTACACACATGAATATTGCAGCGCTAAATCTAATTGTAGTCGTCAGATTACCACGAGATCAAACTGTTTTTTCATGGATCTACAACCTCGGACGTCGCGTTGAAGGCCATTTTCCATCGCGGTGGTGGCCGCGGACAGCGCGTTGGCCTACCCGGACCAGCCCACGGCCGCGCCCATCATCACGGCGTCGAGGTGGCCCTCCGCTTCCTCCTCGGCCGTCTCGGTGGCGCGGGCCACGGCCTCGTGCTCTGCCTCAGCCGCCGCCCACGACGCGCGCACCTCGCTCTCGAAGAGCGCCAGGATGCCGTCCGGCCTCGCCGGGTCGAAGCCCCGGTGGCCATGTCGGCGAGCACGCAGAGCTGCTCGAAGAGCGCGTCCATGTGTGGCCACTGGCAAGCGACCTGTCCTGAATCCTGATGTTCATCACCCTCCTGCCACTTTATATACGAGACGGGTGGAGGGTACTGGTATGTGCTACGCTTGCGGAATAGGAGATTCGAGCACGACGGTTGCGGACCAGCAATTGCAATTGCAACGCCTTTCGGCGAGTGAGCAACTGAGGATCGTCCTTTACCGCAAATTTCGTGACGAGAATAGTCCACCCCGGAGCCTTTCTAACACCGGTAAAGCACTGACTGGTGTAATCCGCAGTAACTTAGGTCCCGTCTGGATCCCTCCGGATTCTGCTACCCGGATAAAAAAAACCTACATAGCATCCAGTCGGTGGGGATAATAAGGAGGATAAAAAAATCCGAACGTAAGATTCAAAGAATCCCATAATCCAACTGAGGCTGGATAATAGGAACGAGATCCCCTGCAGTTGACCTGGCTGACTGCTCTCTACAGTCGAGAGATCTACGCCGTCCGTTCCGTCGAAAGGCCATCTCACGGTCCTTGTCTAGCAGGACGTACGACAGGGGCTCGAGGTCAATTATGCACGAGAAACGGCGGAGTTGAAGGACCGAGTCGTCCACGGAGTGCTCCGCCAACGGCGGCCTTGGCGAAGAAATCAAGATGCGGCCCCGAGTTGACGAAGTCCGTGTAGACGCCGCCGCCACGAAGCGAAGCTCCACGGCCATGGGCGAGCCGGGGAGGGTGTCCGCGAGCTCAGACGCGACGGCGCTGCCGCGCGAAGCTCGCGAGACACGACGGAGCGCCACGCACGAGACGGGCGATGCGTGTACGGGAAGCAAGCATTGCGAGCTCAGCGTGCAGCGGCGCTGCCCAAAGACGCGGCGAAGCTCCATAGGCGGCGCCGGGTGGTCATGCACGAGCAAGGTTCGTTATGGCGACGGTGGCACGCGATGTGGGAAGTGGTGCAAGGCGGCGCGGCAGCGACGACGCACGCGAGGGAAGAAGCAAGCGCAAAGCGCCCTGTTCCTCTCCGTAATGCGGGGCTCGCCGCACGGGACGGGACGACGGCGCGGAAGCCGCGCCACCGTGGTCTCACATCGCCATCGAGCCCAGCAATGGCAGGCGCTGGCGGTAAGGTCGAGCGAAGTTCGTGAGGAGGCGGCCGGCGTGGTAACGGTGACATGACTTCCCCGCCGTCGGTGAGATGCATGTGCTCATGGAGAGACGGCGACGGGGGAAGGACCGAGTGGCGACGGCGGCGGACATGATGCATCGAAGTCACATATCAAGACGGGCCTACTTGGCCCTATGTCGTCTGATTTGCTACACGAGGACCGTGAGATGCCCTTTGGATGGAACGGACGGCGTAGATCCCTCGACTGTAGAGAGCAGTCAGCCAGATTGACCGCAGAGGATCTCGTTCCGGATAATAGGGGATACTCCTTCCTTCCAATGCGTGAAAAGACAGTTTTGCCCCACCTTGTCCTTTTCCTCAGGTCATTCTCAGGGGTATTATGGAGAATATACCTATTTAGCACCTACAATCCCTAGCTAGAATCTTGGGATCCAAACATCATAGGTTTTTATTATCTAAAATCTGGATTCCATATACCCTACCTTACTAATCAGTTGGGATAGCGCATCATCGGATCATATCACAAACTAAGGGCAGACATGGCATTGTCTACAAGTTCTTGGAATTTACAATATAGACAGCTAAACAGACAGTTCACACAACCCACAAACAAGGGTTGTCTATTTGATTATCTATAAGTTAATTAATGCTTGCATATAACCACGATCAATCATGAATATCATTCTTGTATATCATTGTGTTGCTAATGGACACAAATTAGATCAAACATATACACTAAATATCATTGCATTTTTTTCATAGTGTGTCATATATGTGCTCTCATTCTCATTCACAAGTAGCAACATGTTCAGTCTGATATAAATTACTTATTTGCCATATCACCAGCACAAAATAAATTAGTATGCAGTTTTTAACTTTTTAAGAACGGCAAGCAGTATGCCTGTATGTGAGAGCATTCAGTCATGGGCATGCTCGGCTGGTATTAAAGCCGACTGATAAGCCGAAGCTGTTTTATTGTAAAAGAAAAATACTGTAAATTCTAGCCGATAAGTTCAAGCGAACGTGCCTATATCACCATACATTCAGTCGCTCAGAAAACACCTAACAATATGCATCACAAAGTATATTTGGTAAAGAGTCACGAAAAAAAGTATATTTGGTAAATAACTCAACTGAACAGGTTCTCCAAATGAGAGTGCAATTTTACAGA